AGGGCCCCGGCCCCCCCCGGCCCCGCTGATGGCATAGACGTGCGCACCGCAAACAAAAATTCTGTTGAATTGCTCAAACAGTTTCATTTTTCTACACTAAATGTTTAAAAAAAACAAACCAACAACATAAGGATAGACTGTTTCCCCACATTATTAAAGAACACGGACATATGAAAGGAAAGAAGGTATCAAGTATTTCCTTTTCCTATAGGGAAATAATATGCATTTTGGTTAATTTTTTGATGTGGTTTTTTTTTTTTTTTTTCCTGGCAGATCGGAACAGTATAAAGCTTTGAATATTAAGAAGGCTATTAAATTCTTTCAATAGTTTTCCAAAGTGCGAAGCTACTGCACTTAGAAAAAGGAAAGGAAGCCTTACACTCTTCAAGAACAAAATGAATTTAAACACACGATTAATATTGCTACTGAAATTAAAAAGAAAGCGTCTTTTAAAAAAAATCAATTGTCTTGAAACAAAGCACAGACTTTTGGCTATTGATAGTATTTTTAGACTCAGACTTTCTCTGGAGACTTAAAAGTATGCAAATGCAAAGTGCAGAGAGGCGCCCGCACACACATGCTATACCTTTGTATTACATTGGCATTTTATTATTTAATTAAACTACTCTTATTTTTCTAGCTCACGCATGCTTCCCTTGAGACGGCTTTGCTGTTAGCCTGCTGGCCTTGACTTCCAGCCAAAAACAATTCAGAAACAAAAAGGGACAACAAATCATATTTTCACAGACATTTTTATCCCTCAATACAACCTTGTTTTCACACAACATCATACAGATTCTATGAAAACTATAATTTATTGCAGTAGCCATCCAAAGCTAGGGGCTGCCACGAGCTCTGCGGTGTGTTTCCACTTCTGCGGTTTCCGAAGTTGTGCCGTTGGGAAGGACCCGCCACGCTGAACAGTGCGGCATTGTCGCGAGGGACAATAATCGCTAGTTCACGGCAGCTCTGAGTGGGGCGGTATTAGGTCAACCCAAGGTTGACCTCGGAGTCTCCAGTAACTGTAGCCTGGCTAGGAAAGCTCAGGCAGGAGCTCTCAAACCTGCATTTGCTAATTAAGCCCGTTTCTGAGAACTGCGCGCCTGCAGCCATGGCCGTTTGGGATGGAGCCTCTCCCAACGACGTACAACTTTAAGAAGCAAACCTCATTTATCAGAGTATTTACCGCAACCCCGCCGCCGAGCAGACTTTCACTTACCTGGTGGCAACCCTGTAAATTCGAATCTCTTCCATATGATGAGTAGGAACCCCTTTCTGTTTTACCTGTTAAAAAAAAAAATAAAAATAGATGTATAACGGAGAGAAACAGATATATATGGCTTGTCCAAGCGCTTCAGATGATGGTCACCACGTTTTCCTAATGCTGTTTACATATGTAAAATAGGCACTCCTGACTGTGTAACGCATGTAGGCAATAGAAAGGCATTAACGCTTTTTCACGCTGAGGATGGTGATGCGAAATAAACTTCCTAATCTCGGCTGCGCTGCTCCACACGCTTCCTGAAACTGGGCTTTAATGGGCTTCCACTGGCCGGCTGAAGGTGTGAGCGGACCTCCTCCGTGCCTCCCCCCCGACGCGGGGGCTGCGCCCCCACCCTACCTGTCCCAGCGCCGCGCCGGGGACGCGGCGAGCCCCTCACCGGCTCCCCAAACAGCCGCCTTCGCCCCAGAGCTGCTGGGGATGCGGCTCCCAGGAGCAAACTCCCCCGTGATCAAGGTGACGGTGGCTTTTACACCTGGGAATGAGACACCGATTGGGAACGCGCCATTCGCTACCAACGCCGGGGCTGCCCCAGCGGCGCTGGGACTTGAACGGGGGCCCGGTGTCTGCCGAGACTCTCTGCCAGCCCTAAGGACCCTTTATTTATTTATTTTTTTTCTTATTATTTTTTCCCCAGGAAGCCTTTAACACTCAGATCCAGCAGCCTGCCCTGCAGCACCGGTTACGGTTATGCCATATTTACAAAGGAAAATAAAGGTTCTTTCAGGTTTGAATGGCCAGACTCGAGCGAAATCAAGAAGGGAAGAGGTGGTTTCTGCAAAGCATTAAGTCATGGCTGAGCAGCACCGCACCACGTGCTCCGGAGACAAAGAGCAGTCAAGAGGGCTGATACAAAACATATTGACACTAAAAGACCACCCTTATGGTGAGGATAATCACGGGAGGGGGGGAGGTATTATCTAACAAAACATCCAAGAACACAGTAAAAATCACTCATAAAATTAAAGTTTTTATTATAGGCTGGGGCATAAAACCCACAACACACAGTACCAGTTCCCAGGGACCAGATGCTCCGTTTCTCTCTGCGTGCGGCTCCCGGCAGCGCCGGGGACGCTCTGCACCTCCAAGCCACGTCCAGGCGGCAGCGTACCCCCCGCACGAGAGACGCGGCGGCAGCCCTACACCAAAAATAAAGCTGCTGCGCCGGTACACCTACCGAAGGCGTTCAAAAAACATCCTTTAACCCCGTTTGGAAATATCAGACTCTAACGACGACGCTACGCAGGCCCCCAGTGAGGCAGGCAGGGGTGGGGGTCCCTACGCCGGCACCGCTACCGCCTGGCCACCGCGCGGCTCCGCCGTGCTCCGTTTTCCCAACGCCGTCCGAATTTCATAAAGGACCCATGGTGATGCAGATCGTTAGACAAAGGACGATGGAGTTAATTTTAAGCATTCCCAAAATAGCGCGGCCACATTCTGACTCCACAAGCCTTCCCTTTAATACGGGGCTACTAGGTTTGCTTGCCCTGTAGAGGTATTATTGATAAAGTTTGACTATTGAGAGGGCTTTACAGTAAAAAAATCCTCTTTCTCCTCACCATAATTTAAGACTCTAGAGCTTGCTTTTGTTTCTCAATTGTTTTTTTGTTTTGTTGTTTTCCACGTGAAGTAGTTACTTATACACGGGAACCTCCAAAATGTATTTACAATTCATAGGACATTTGCACACGTAACAACTTTGGAAAGCACTTGTATCTGGTTATACAAAAATGACGGATCGCCCACTCCGTAGCCCCCCTCAGGTTCGGAGTACCGGAAGCCTTTGCAGAAATAATTCAAGATTGAAATGACAATGAAATTTTAATCGTGAATCCCCGAGTCCGATGCCGAGATCTGAAAACAAAATGTCTCGCTGGCACGCCTGGAGTTACGTGTGCTACTTCCCATCACCCCAAGAGGGCCAGAAAGTCGATGCAAATAACGAGCGGTGAGGACGGGGAAGGAGGCGGGGGGGGGACACACAAAAAAAAATCCCACCCAGAAAAAATAGGGTCGAGGGGAACCAAGTACAAGCAGCGACACAAGGTACTTTGAACACGCTTCTCGCTGCTGCCTGGGTATCGGTAATCTTCTTTTCTATGGTATCAGACACAGGCAGCCTCATCTTAATTTCAGTTGTTAAAAAATATTTATCCAGATACAAAAATAAACCCACTGCAAATTACAAGTTGTCAGGGTTAAAATCTACTTCTATTTGTGTGGGGGAGGATAAGAGAACAGCATAGACATGAATCATTCTCAGTAATTTGAGTGTTTCCATGACATCAATGGGCACTCGTCCAGGACTCTGTCGAAGTCTGTGAGGTACCAAAGCGGCACAGCAGCCAGCAGGAGATTGGGTTTTTTTCCCTTTTTTTTTTTTACCAAACAGATAGCTTTGGAGCTCACGAGTGAACACATTTCATTCTGCTAGTGTAAGCCTTTAACTTTATTGCATTTGTTGTTGTTGTTCCCCCATACAGCTAGAAATCTGCCTCCTCCGTTAAGAACAAATAACCGAAATTTATGAAAAAGTCGAGAAACCGGGAAAAAGATATACATACGTCGATTTTCGCTATCAACTGTAATTATGAAATTATCATACTTTTTGTAACGACACTTCATTGGGGGGGTGGGGGGGAAGAGAATATCTTTTGTATAAACTGTCCATTTAAAATTAGCTACAGTCTTGATGTTGATTTTCTGCTTAAAATTCACTGGCACATTTGTTTCAGATAATAAAATTTGCAAGAGTGCTGATAATTATGCTCCTTGTAAAGATTTCATCTATAGCATCCACTTTTACCACCAAACAGATAGCTTTGGAGCTCACGAGTGAACACATTTCATTCTGCTAGTGTAAGCCTTTAACTTTATTGCATTTGTTGTTGTTGTTCCCCCATACAGCTAGAAATCTGCCTCCTCCGTTAAGAACAAATAACCGAAATTTATGAAAAAGTCGAGAAACCGGGAAAAAGATATACATACGTCGATTTTCGCTATCAACTGTAATTATGAAATTATCATACTTTTTGTAACGACACTTCATTGGGGGGGTGGGGGGGAAGAGAATATCTTTTGTATAAACTGTCCATTTAAAATTAGCTACAGTCTTGATGTTGATTTTCTGCTTAAAATTCACTGGCACATTTGTTTCAGATAATAAAATTTGCAAGAGTGCTGATAATATGCAAGAGGAGGCTCTTTAAGCAACTATTTGTGCTCACAAATACAAAAGCTTCTCCTGAATTTCCCCGTTTACTGTACATTATGCATCATTTTCAGTCCCTTGAACACCCCAGCCTGTACTGTGCCTTTTCCGAGGTTTGCAAGAGCTAAAGATTCTCTCTCCTTTAAAAAAAAAAAAAAATGTTTTAAAAAAGAGAGAGCGTCTACAGCGATGTAGACACCCGACGCATTCACTGCGGAATTTTCGAGACAACCCTCTAGTACTAGAATGCGGCAGCCGCTGCGGATATTTTTTGGCACAAAGACAATGGTGGCAGTGCCAAGCCCCATGGCTAAAACTACTCAAAAGAGGCATAAGGGTAGCATTAATCGTTCAAGTCTTTTACTGCATGGAGTACTGTTGTCCATATTTTAAAACCTAAAAGTACCCGTTAGTAATATTTGTTGTAAGCCAGGAAAAAAAAAAAAAGAAAAAAAAGAAAAAAAAAAAAAAAAGGGAGCCTGAAATAGAGACGAATAACAAATCTTGTCAGACATCTGATTAATTTTTTCTACCTAGAGGACCAAATGCTAAAATGTGCCATTTGTTACCAGCCCTGCGAACACGCAACACGATCTATACCCTTCCGTGGCTTTATGATCTGACAATTGAAACAAAGCTCCATGGAAGAAGTTGACCTACAAAGGCTGGTGAATAACTTTCCAGTATGCACTTGCTCTTTGGGTAAGGCAGCAAAAGCATCTCCATTATTATCGGAGGCAATAACTTAGCGTGTGGGTAAATATATATATATAGATATTTTCGATTAATCGACACAATGCATGCCAATCAAAGGAGAGACAAAGAAAGAACTACCCGCAGCTCCTGTTTTCTGACAAACACTGAATCTCAAGTCTCCGCTCTCTAAATACCTCTAGAAAAACGACACTGCTTATCTTCGCTAAACTAAAACGACTGCTTCAGAAATATTTTGTTTGCATTTTTGTTTAACTGCAGGAAATAAAAGCAGCATAGGATTGCCAATCAATCAATAAAGGAGCCGCTTGCCTCGCCGTGGTGCGCTTTGAAAAATTAATCAAATTAAGGAGAAAATTTAAGCGACTTCCCAAGCCCAAATGCAAAGCATCCCGTTCCCCGCTCCCTTCTGCCCTGCCCGGGAGATAGGGCACCTCGGCTTGTTTCTGGGAGGCAGAACGAGAGGCGTGAGGCAACTCTTTCCATCTGCAGAGAAAAGGAAGCGAAGCTATTCCTATAAACGACTTCAATTCGATGTTTACATCGATTTCGTGTTTGACATATTTTTTGAGAGATGAGTTCGACCGGAATATTCTAATTCGGGTTTCTGCCGCCCTACATATGGGGCTTAGTTCTTGGTTAGACTGAAGAAGGGAAACCTGTCTGGGGGAAAAAAAGAAAAGTAATTGCGTTAGGGATCGGAATTTTAATGGCTGCGAATGTCGGTCTGGTCAGGTCTGCAATTTTGCTTAAACCTCTTTCTTATTTTATTAGTGCATTTCTAGCAGTTTTGAAAATTAATGATTGTTCCCTCTGATGCCCGATGCCTCAAACGCATCCCGAAGGGAACCCGATCGATTCCCCTACAGAGAATGACAAATGAAAGAAGAATTCAGCGCGCAAGTCAGACCGGGCACGAGGAACACGGAGCTGGAGCATCTTTGGGAAAAAGTTCTGAGCAAGCGAAGAACGGGCTGAACTTTAGAGTTCCCCATTTCTCTGTGTATAATGAACACATACGTGCCCTCGGCCGTAGGAGGTTTTATTTGCCTTGTTATGAGGATCATGAAAGAGTTT